GTGTGTGTGAAGTTGTTGGCCCCACAAACACTGCTAATGTATAGGGTGCAGGGTCTGACACAGTCAGCATTTTTGCCATCTCTTCTTCACATATGCTAAATTTTATTAATACATGTAGTAGCTGTTTTCCAGTCTTATGTGCCAGAACACATAAAGTAATCATGCGTTCATGCAGTGCTTTTCCTCTCATATGCTGTCTGTAGCAGCTGTATTATGTATTTAACCTCTTCATATTTCATAGTGTAGTTTTATCGTTGTAAAATTATCCGCTCTGCTGCCATTACACTTATCTATAGTTGTGACAGAGCAGATACTACCAACACCGCCTCTTTCATGTGAAAACATCCAAGTGGAACCCTGGGTTAACAAAGTGAGAGCTATGTTTGTGTGACCACGTGTCTTCACTGCAGATATCAGGCTAAGTAAACTTAGATTACAGAAAGATGTTGCTCACAGTACAGGACCCTGTACAATTGTTATAAAGGGGGAAACTGTCCATGGAAACCAAAATAGTTTGTTTGTGCCAGGCTTTAAACATGCTAATCTTTTCTGGGCATTTTGACGTGAGAGTCTACGGAGACTGACTCGCTTTTGGGATCATCCTCAAGGGGCCATTTTTTGTTTTGTTTGACACCTGATCGTGCGCTCCAAAGAAGGGAATAATTTATTAGCATTTCCTTTCAGCAATTGTATTTTTCATAGGAACAAAATCAGTTTTTTGCTTTGTTTGTTTTTCGGTAGGTAACTCTATTTTTTCTGTTTTTATTCTCTTTTCTGGTAAATCTTAGCCTTCCTGACAGTGTGTGAGAAGAAAAATGTGTGGGGCATTGTTCATTTGTTAACAGTGGATAAAAACACCTTTCAGTGAGCTATCACTTTAAGAGGACATTACAGACAAATCCCCAGTCCCCTGTGTCTTGCTCAGACATCTCCAGTGTGTGAGAGTCAGAGACAGTGGGTGAGAGCTGAGAATAAAAGCAAGTTTCATTGAGACGGAGCCAAGAGTCCAGTCATTGGCATGCTACTCTGGTTACCCGGTAGGCCTGCTGCTGGTTGACACAATTCAGGATCTTATAAGAGATGCATCAATAAAGGTTTTCGGCCGCAGATTATCATTGGAAATGCCGGCATCTATAAAGATGTCACTTTGACTTTGAAGCAGCAGTGAGAAGAAAAAGAACAGCAGCCTTTTTCATATTTTGAAACGGCAGTTTTATCTTCAGTTTCTGAATCAGATTTGGCAGATTTTCTTGTATCTCTCTGAACTTGGCTGTATCCAGGACACTACTGTGGCTTGCTGACTGTCAAAGGAATAAAGGCTTTGTGGGGAAACAAAAGAAATACTTGAATCTTCCACAGTCCTCGACATTCCTGAACAGGGCATAATTCTTGTCCTCACAAAAGCAACACTGACTTCACAGGTATAAAAAGCACAGCTTCACCTACAGGATGCTGGATCTCAACTCTTCAGATGACAGCAAGAAGAACTCTCTGAAGGACCCTGTGTGCTTGAACGTCGGTGGAGAAATCTATACAACAACCTTAGACACTTTAACTCGCTGCCGTGACTCGATGCTAGGCACCATGTTCACCGGACAAGTTCCTATGCTTAGGGACAGCTGCGGCAACATTTTCATAGACCGTGACGGTAAAGTGTTTCGCTACATTCTGAATTACCTGCGCTCTGGCTCTTTGGATCTGCCAGATGGCTTCACTGAACTCGCACTGCTCAGGAGAGAGGCAGATTTCTTCCAGATACCCCGTCTGCTGGAGGAGATTCGTCACTATGAGGTATCGGTGCCTCTGGGCCTTAGAGGTGGGCCGCTAGGAGCCATCATGATAGTAAAAGTCGACTCCAAGGTACGTGTGATGAGGTTAGCTAGACTGTTCATCTGCTCATAATAGGTTTATTTATTTTATTAGGTTAGTCGATCATGTTTACTCTTGACCACTAACTACAAGCCAAACAGTTTGTTTTTAAGTGCAGAAAAATAGAAACAGGACAAAATGGTTTGCAAATTATTTAAAGTCCATAACCTTTGTTTTTCAAAAGTAGTACAAAGATAATAAATATAAAAAATGAGACATTATATTATTTTCTCAATTTGACCTCAGCAAACATGTGTGGACAGTGTCTGCACATTTAATAATGGCTCAAACATCAGTAAAATGCCTTCTTGAAGTTTGCACATCGAAAGAAAAAGTCCTACAAGTGCATATGCAGTAAGGCTAGCCAAAAAAAAAACCTTGTTACTGCACCTCTTTAGTGAATCCTGACTCAGTCAGAAGTATTTCTGCTTTTTAGGAAATGGTAAAGCAGGCACTGTCCCAAATTATTTGTTAAAATGACCATTTATTTCCTATAGCCTCCAAATTTGTAATTTTTTCCATAAATGCTAAATGACACAAAAGGCAGTTTCTGGTTGATTGCACTCTATATACAGTACTGTGCAAGTCTTGGGCAACAATTTCTTTATATTTTGGTCGGAAAATATATTACAGCACCACTGGCTGAAATGCAGCCTCAAACTGTGTTAGAACCTCCTGTTTTATTCACTGTTCACTCTTGCCTTCCCTTAAACGTTGTAACAGTTTGAACCAAGAATGTCAGATTTGGCTTGACTTGTTGCCATTGATTTTTTTGAATACAGTTCTTGTGTAATCTGCGCCTTCCTCTCTTGTCCTTTAAGAACCACACCTTGCCAAGCTATGCCAAGTTTCTAGTGAAAAGCTTTGTGGAATTGCCTTATGGGTAAAAAAACAAAAACAAAAATTTTTTTTTTATGCCTTTCGAACTCTGTTATTATCACCATTTATCTGATATTCAACGAAAGAAACTGGTCAGATAGTTTCATGTTGTGTGCGTTTGTTTTGTTTTGTTTTCAACAGGCTGCTCCATTTTTCTAAGTGGCTTAAACACAAAATACATTCCTCTTAAAAAAAACAAACAAACACACCAAAAACAAACAAACTTTGAAAGACCTTCAGAAAGATCTGTTTCTGAAGACTTCTTTAAAAAATGAGTCATTGGAAGCAAAATATAAAGAAATGAGGATTGACCGAAGACTTTTGCACAGTAAAGAAAGAAAGAAGGTGCATTTCCCAAACCCCCGAATACCCTCACATATTTACTCCATATAATGATGGACAGTCATAGCATTGGTGAAGTGCATTAAATTAGTTGCAATAACTATTGTGGTAGCAATAGTTATTGCAACTGTACTTTTTTTTTTTTTTTTTTTTTTTTTTTACAATTTATGAGAAAATGATGTTGCCTAACATCTTAATTGCATTTTGATTGTTAATTTAGCTCATACAGATATGATGGAGGTGACCCATTTCTTGTAAAGCTCTGGTATCAAATAGTGTTTTAGTGAAGAAGTTAACCTAATAAACAAAACTAGCCAACACCGAAGTTTCAATCATCCAGTTATAGGATAGTGGGTATGATTAGTACTTTCCAAATGTTTATGCCATTAATCAGTGATGATATTGACAGACGTTTCAATGTGACAATTGTAGTCAAAGTGAAATCTGTAAACGTTTAAAATTAAAAACAATCTCCTCCGCATTTTTAATTTGTAGCTCTGTTCTAAAAGAACGTACGTACCTGGCCCCGCCTACTATCCTCGGAAACGTAAAATGATTGGCTAGACTCTAAAGTGTATCACAGCTCAGGAAAAAAAAGCACCGAAATGTGCACTGCTTTTCGGTCTGGTTACTACCGTTTATGTCAGAACCGGACACCGGTACCGATCCCTAATGATGACAGGTGTTATTTATGGTTTTGGACAACTGTTATGTTTTAATCAATTTCATAAGTTAGTCAAGAACAGGTGTATAAAATCATACCACATTCAAATTGCATAGTAATTTGGTAAATTATGGCTTAACAAAAAATTAATTAATTATTTAATATGAATGAAATATGAGCAGAGAGTACAGTCATGTTGAGGGATTGGCTGTGTTTGGTTCTGTTCTGCTTCTAGTTAGACTCTATCTGTTCCTCATTCAGGTGTGCAAAGGTTTTTTTAATCAAATAACTTTTCCCAATAAACCATCACAGCTAGTGTTTTGTGTATATACAAGACATACACAGAGGTTGTGTTTGTGCACCTGTTTGCATGTGTAGCCATGGAACAACCGGTTCTTTGTTTGTGTATACTCTGGGGGATATGTAGTCAGTATGTTCTTCCCTCTTATTTCAGGTCCGTGTTCTCCATTTTAACTTGCGCCATGGGCCTGAAAACTATGAACTCCGCACATGCTCTGTACGAGCGTTCACAGTCGACCTCTTTTGTACCTGGAGGGCATTTCTAGGTTTGCTTTGTGAGCGCTTCTCCTACAGGACACCCCAGGGTCTCAACAGCCCTCACCTATGTCGTCCGAGGCAGAACAGACTGAAACTGGAATGGGTGCCAAAGCCTGATGAACTCCCACAGGAACAGTATGACAAGCAGCAATACAGGGGCCTAACTTTGTCTAGCCCTGAGGTCACGTGGTCGGATGACATGATGAACATGCACTACAGTCCCTGTGAAATCACAGACATGCAAGGCTTTTTGGAGGAGCTGTTGAAGATATCACTTGCTGAGGGGTTCAAGGTTGATCTAGTCTCTCCTGACCCTGCAGATATTCTTAACTGCACTTCACTTCGTCTTGTGAAGTCGTGAGCACTGGATGAAAGTGACTAGGAAAACCAGAACATACCAAGATAATAAACTATAGGATAAGATGAGATAGCCTTTACTAGTCCTGGAGTTAAATTTGAAGCAATGAATTCTCTATGACATGGAGTTAGATTTACTGACACATTATGACTAGGAGGTCATTATCTGTGGTTCTTTTGCTATCATAGAGTTTACTAAAAATAATGCAAAATGTGCTTTATTAATAAAATGGTAAATAAAATGTACTTTTTTGTGGAAATTCTGATATTGAGGATACAACTTCAAATTTTAGTTTGGGCTCTGTTTAAAAATGGCAACTGTTTTTAAAAGTAGTGCAGTGTGAGTAGTACTAGAGCACACACCAAGGAATGATAATATTCATAGCCTGTTAGTCACTCGGCTAAATGTGTGACATATATTGTGACTCACTTTACAACAGTGTTGGGAAGGTTACTTTTAAAATGTATTCCACTACAGATTACAGAATACATGCCCCCAAATCTAGTTTGTAACGTATTCCGTTAAGTTACTCAATGAGAGTAACGTATTCTGAATGCTTTTAATATATTGTCATGCTTTTTACAACTACATGAATGTACTATTGCTGTGTGATTTATTATTATTACTGAAGGCTACTCGCCACCGAGTTAACATTGTTAGCTGGCATTATCTCAGGTTAGTTCATCGACTGATTTCAGAACTGCACGATTATTTGCAGCTAGCAGGTTGTTAATGCTATTCATCAATTGTAACAGTCACACAGCGATAGTACATCAAAGATACTGAAGTGGCACATAACCCAGATAGCTACCACAATTAACACAAGGTAGTTGCAGTAGGCTAACGTTAGTTTTTTAAAAAGAACTTCCTTCCAGATGTTTTTTTTTAGGTTGGGGGTGGAGTCTTTTGAGTGCAACTTGGTTGCTGCCAAACAGAGTTTGCATTGAATTGTCAGATTTCACCCATCCGTTTCCTCTTTAAATATGAAGTGGTGTCAGAATTTCCAAGTAAGAAATGCATTCCTGTTCATGCACTGCTGGCTCTGTTGTGCTGGCTTCGGATCCATTGTGTAACTGATGCCACCAGCATTAATAGGACTCTAATTTCGTGTTTTGTTTGGGTTTCCGGCAATGTGTGGAACTACCAAAATCAGAGAGGGGACAGCATAACATATGAAACAGGAAAAGACCACCTTGTAATCCATTAATTTCAACAAAGTAATTGTATTATAATAATCACCTTGTTACGCCTCCTCGAGGGCAGGAGGGGGTAATACAACAACTCCAGAAACTCTGTACAAGTGTAATAACAAAAGCAAGTTTAATGGCAGCTTTCTCACATAAACAATAACCCAAATTCATACAACAAATGTGGGGGAGAAAGGGACAGTTAGGTTGTGCCCAAAAAGACAAAACCAAAACTTAGCTGAGCTCTTACCCTAGAAAAACAAAAAAGGTCTGTAAAGACTTTTATGGGTTCCACACTTAATCCAAGATAAACCTCAAAATGTTGCAGAGCCAACAGAACGGCAAGAGTTTCTTGTTCGATTGTAGAAGACCTTCTCTGAGGATGTGTGAACTTCTTTGAGAAGTAGCACACAGGGTGATGAAGTCCTACCTACCTACCTACCCCAACCACGCTAGCATCAACCTCCAACTTGAATGGTTGGCTAAAACCTTTTTGGTTAAAGGAATCTGCCAATAACCTTTCAACATATCCAGTTTAGTCATAAATGTGGCAGGTCCAATGTCATCAATGCAATTATCGACGAGAGACGAGGAATACATGTCAGGAACTGTCACAGCATTCACTTTGCGGAAGTCCGTACAGAACCGTGGACTCCCATCAGCTTTAATGACCAACAAACATGGGGAATTCCAGGGGCTACAACTGGGTATTGCAAGTCCATTTCTAACAAGATACTCCCTTTTTCACAACTTCTCTTTTGATGGGATTGACTCTGTATGCACGCTGTTTAATGGGTGCAGGACTGGTAAGAAAAATGTCATGGGATATCAAACTCGTCTGGGTAGGAACATCCCCAAACATACACCGGAAGGACACAATCAGGTTCTGAATGTCTTCAACCTGATTAAGTGACAGGTGAGACAAATAGTGGGACAAGTCAGACAGAATCTCACTATTACTTAGTCTCGTCCCCTGTGACACATCTTTGCGCAGGACCGCATCTTCCTCACTGCTTTCATTGGCTATATCTGAAGCTACGCATGCTATAGGGGAGCTAGACTTAACCTTGTGCGGAGTGAGGGGATCATCTTCATTCTCTCTATTCTCTCTAGAAAGATAATGTTTCATCATGTTAATGTGGCATACTCTAGTCTTGCGACGACGATCAGGAGTTTGAACAACATAATTGGTCTCACTGAGTTTCCTTTCCACAGCGTACGGTCCAGAAAACCTTGTTTTCAGAGAAGAGCCCAGAATGGGGAGCAGAACTAGAACCTGATCACCAGGTTTAAACTGACAAGCAACTGCTCTCCGATCATAGTGTTTTTTCATCCTTAGCTGCCTAGCAGTTAAGGTGTCCCTGGCAATAGCGCAAGCTGATTTAAGGCGCTTTCTAATTTTAGCCACGTACTCAGGGATGCTCTTTAGTGTTTTAGTTGGAACAACTAGCTGTTCTTTAAGGATGTGCAATGGTCCTCTAACTTCATGTCCAAATTCAAGCTCTGCAGGACTAAAGCCTAGGGACTCTTGCACTGCTTCACGAAAAGCGAACAATAAGAATGGTATACCCTCATCCCAGTTCTTTCCTGTCTCCAGACAGTATTTGCAGAGCATGGACTTTAATATCTGGTGAAGTGCTCCCTGACTTTCAGGATGGTAGGAGCTTGATGTAATGTGCTCTACTCCTAATTCTTTTAATGCCTGAGCAAAGGTTTTAGACTTAAAGTTGGTTCCCTGATCAGTCTGGACTACCTTTGGAAGACCAAACACTGAGAAGAACCCTACCAGAACTTTACTGATGACAGGAGCGGTGATCCTTCACAGGGGGCACTGATTCGGGAAACCTAGTAGAAGCACACATCATTGATAGAATGTATTGGTTCCCTGACTTTGATTTTTGTAAAGGTCCTACAACACCTACAACACCACAACACTTGACTGACAGGATGACTCAACAGACAAAGGCAAAATACCCTCTCGAACGATAGACTGCGAACCACCCGTGTCTCTCAGTATTGTTACAGGCTGGTCGTCAACAGTATCACCTGTTAAAGAAACACAACCCTGTGTGATAAAAGGTTTGAAACAAGGATCTATTTCACGTTGAGATGTTTGGGTTCTGGGAGGCGACACATTTTGAATCAAACCCATGCCCTTGGGTTGCGGCGGTGTAGTCTTTTTTTTTTTTTAGTGCAAGGCAATCAGCAATGGCATGACCTTTTTTATGGCAATAGAAGCATTCAGGTACCTCACGGGAAAGTAATGGTTGCTTAGCTCTGGCTTCAGGCTGACCAAGATCAGGCTTTGGTGAGCGTGTGATCAAAACCTTATCTGAACGAGGGGATGATGCAAACACATTTTTATGGGTTAAAATGAACTCATCAGCAGATTCTTAAAATCTTCCAATAGGATTAACTGACGAAGAGCTTCAAAGTCTTTCTTCACTTCACTTGCTGTGCACCACTTGTCAAAAAGAACTGCCTTCTCACGTGCAAACTCTACATATGTTTGACCATTAGACTTCTTGTGATTCCTGAACTTTTGTTGGTAGGCCTCAGGTACAAGTTCATAAGCACGAAAGATGGACTCTTCAGTACATTGTATTTCATGCTATTTTTGATAGAGAGAGATGACACAAGCTCCAGTGCTTTGCCCACTAGCTTGCATTGCAGTAGCACAGCCCACATTTCTTTTGGCCATTCCAGTGCTGTTGCAATCCTTTCAAAGCATTAAAGTTGAGCCTCATAGCTTCCACCTCTAGCTGTTTTAACTTTACCTCCTTCTCAGCTTCAATTTCAAGCTGACGTATCTGAAGTTTGAGGTCGAACTCAGCCTTACGTGCTTGCTCCCTTTATGACATACAGTGGGGCAAAAAAGTATTTAGTCAGACAGAATGTTAAAAAAAAATCCATGAATCCACATGGTAGGATTTGTAAAGAATTTATTCGTAAATCAGGGTGGAAAATAAGTATTTGGTCAATAACAAAAATACAACTCAATACTTTGTAACATAACCTTTGTTGGCAATAACAGAGGTCAAACGTTTACTATAGGTCTTTACCAGGTTTGCACACACAGTAGCTGGTATTTTGGCCCATTCCTCCATGCAGATCTTCTCGAGAGCAGTGATGTTTTGGGGCTGTCGCCGAGCAACACGGACTTTCAACTCCCGCCACAGATTTTCTATGGGGTTGAGGTCTGGAGACTGGCTAGGCCACTCCAGGACTTTCAAATGCTTCTTACGGAGCCACTCCTTTGTTGCCCGGGCGGTGTGTTTTGGATCATTGTCATGTTGGAAGACCCAGCCTCGTTTCATCTTCAAAGTTCTCACTGATGGAAGGAGGTTTTGGCTCAAAATCTCACGATACATGGCCCCATTCATTCTGTCCTTAACACGGATCAGTCGTCCTGTCCCCTTGGCAGAAAAACAGCCCCATAGCATGATGTTTCCACCCCCATGCTTCACAGTAGGTATGGTGTTCTTGGGATGCAACTCAGTATTCTTCTTCCTCCAAACACGACGAGTTGAGTTTATACCAAAAAGTTCTACTTTGGTTTCATCTGACCACATGACATTCTCCCAATCCTCTGCTGTATCATCCATGTGCTCTCTGGCAAACTTCAGACGGGCCTGGACATGCACTGGCTTCAGCAGCGGAACACGTCTGGCACTGCGGGATTTGATTCCCTGCCGTTGTAGTGTGTTACTGATGGTGACCTTTGTTACTTTGGTCCCAGCTCTCTGCAGGTCATTCACCAGGTCCCCCCGTGTGGTTCTGGGATCTTTGCTCACCGTTCTCATGATCATTTTGACCCCACGGGATGAGATCTTTGCGTGGAGCCCCAGATCGAGGGAGATTATCAGTGGTCTTGTATGTCTTCCATTTTCTGATGATTGCTCCCACAGTTGATTTTTTCACACCAAGCTGCTTGCCTATTGTAGATTCACTCTTCCCAGTCTGGTGCAGGTCTACAATACTTTTCCTGGTGTCCTTCGAAAGCTCTTTGGTCTTGGCCATGGCGGAGTTTGGAGTCTGACTGTTTGAGGCTGTGGACAGGTGTCTTTTATACAGATGATGAGTTCAAACAGGTGCCATTCATACAGGTAACGAGTGGGGGACAGAAAAGCTTCTTACAGAAGACGTTACAGGTCTGTGAGAGCCAGAGATTTTCCTTGTTTGAGGTGACCAAATACTTATTTTCCACCCTGAATTTACGAATAAATTCTTTACAAATCCTACCATGTGGAATTCATGGATTTTTTTTTCACATTCTGTCTCTCACAGTTGAAGTGTACCTCTGGTGCAAATTACTGACCTCTGTC